AGTAGTAGGAGTGGTAGGAGTAGTAGTAGTAGTAGTAGTAGTAGTAGTAGCAGTTGTTGCTGTTGTAGTTGCTGTTCTTGCAGCATTGGTAGTGGTCGTCCTCCTGCCGTTTCGGTCGTCGTCGCAGTGGTAGTGCCAACATACGTACTCGTAGTGGTACTAGCTTACTAGCAGTAGTATAGCAGCAACTGCACGACTACAATTTCGATGCAAGTGGCACCAATGACAAAGACAATTTTCTGTAGCGAATACCTACCGGATTTCCCTTGCCACATGTGCGCGCCACCCTGCCTGCGGTTCTTTCTCGTCATCCACCTGGCAATAGAGAAGACTTGACCTATTCTGCTGCTCAAACACATCCACGACAGGCGCCCTACATCTCGCTGTCAGAACCCAAATCTGAGGCTCCCCTTGGGTAGCTACTGCAAATGCAAGCATGCTAGGCACTGCAACATGTCCCCAACGAGGCAGTTTACATGCCGCTTATAAACCATGACTCCCCGCCATCTTCTCCAGCAGAACTGCCACGACGACATTGGTAAGAACCACTCCATTCACCTAGCAGCAGGAGCTTCGAAGGAGCGAAAGACGTGGCAGAGGGAACAACTTGTCAACGGCCACTTTGTTCAACGCAGGGCCGCATGGGAAGAGCCGCGCAGCTCAGTTTCGCAGCTTCGAATCGAAAACAGCCTACAAGTTTTGCTATCAGCAAACGCACCATGTTCAATCTTGAACCCAACACTGGCAACTATGGCAGCGACAGTTCTGACCCGAGGGTGTTCGTAACAGTCGCAACTGCACTAGAGCCGCTGCTTCTTGTAGTGATCTGCAAGTACTTATACAATGGCCGTATGCCATTACACTGACTGAACTAGACAGACTGTATCAGAAAGAGCCAATGCCGATCTTCCTCCCAATTTCAGGAAACATTCACCAGGTCGGGTCACGACAATGAAGGAGACGAAGAAGAAAGCGACGCCAAAGGCTTCCGGGACGCTGTTGCCTTTAGGGTCTGTGGGGGGGTTTAGGTTTCCGAAGCTCCGTGTGGATCCATTCGTGTTTGGCGGTTTTCTGTCGACCGGGCTTGGGCACAGCGCTTGAAATTGCGGACGGCGTTTGGGGTTTGGGGTTGTAGTCCGATTCTGGGCGGTAAACTAAGAGGAGTTCCATCATTGAGCATTTTTCTGGTCTAAGCCTCCGCTAGTCTCCACTCCTGCTCTGTCTAAAGACTCTCGGTGAATGCAGCGGAAGGACTTGGTCTACGGCGAGTCTACGGCTCAAAGTCGAAACCATCAACGTTTAAAACCAGGTGCATTCCGATGGGGCCTCAGTCTGGAGGATTCGGAAGACTTGTAATCTTGCGTACGCCCCAGCGAACACAAGTCGAGGAGTCCTAACCGCTGCCTTCGCCCAAGCTGGCTCCCGAAACACAGTACCAGTGTAAGGTTCTCACCAAACTCTTCACAAACACTCTTGACTCTACTCTCACAACTGAGGAGCGCGGAATCCGGACCCCGAATCGGAAACCTACCAGAACTCACAAATTCCGCCGCAATGTTCTTCAACACAAACTTGTCGGATTGGACGAGCTAGTCACAAACTGAATCATTGCAAAGCACCTGTTGCGAGAATTGCTCACTGAATAACGAAAGCCCGAAACGGCATCGGAAGGGCCCTTCATGAAGCCCTCTACAACCCGAGGGCCTACCTCAAAAACCTTCACCTATGCCGATGCCTTCCAATTCCAAGCCCTAGCTCCGTCAGGCACTAAGAACATGAAGCCCCGAAACCCATGGCACACTTCGTGCTGCCGAGGAGGCCGTGCAAAAGCGGCCGCGCAACAGCCTCGGCCCAGCTTTCGCCTGTGAGGACCTCTGACACTCAGGGGTGTCGGATGGTTTAGGGTTTACCGGCTACTGTAAGGATTTGGGTTTAGGATCCAAGGTTCCGGGTCTGGGATCTAAGGTTTAGGGTTCGAGCGTTGAGGTTGAGAGTGCATGAGCTCGGGCTTGCAGCCTCCCCTTGAACTGACGTAAGGCTTTAGAGAAGTGTAGAGGGGGGCCTGTAGAATTAGGATGTCGGATTCACTCAGAGGTTGGCTGGAGTCGCGGCTTCCAGGTCTCTTGAGGGGTTTCGGGTTTAGGGTTCAGGGTTCGGGCTCCAGGGCTTCAGATTCAGTGTCAGTGCTTCAGGTTTCTTGGGCCTCAAGAAGCTTACGCTTGGCAAAAACGGCTCCCTCACGTCCCGACGCCGTGTCTTTGACCCTTGCTCAGTCTTCTGTTTTATGGTACAGATGGAGCTCCTGCTTCGTTCCATCGCACTAGTTCTTGGTGTTGTGGCATATTATATGTAGCAGAAACCCGTTCGGATCAAGTGTACATGATTACTATATGACTACATGTTAGATATGTAGATGTACAGACGAACTTCGTTATGATCATGCCGTCTCACTCACGTGTTTATAGAGCTTGTCATCAACAAAGATCTCCCACCCCACCCGCGAGGCCCCAAAGCTGGCCTGGAACATTGTGTAGAGCGACTTGCCGAAGTTACCGAAGTACTCGTAGCCATACTCCTGCTGGCGGCCTTGGCGAAAGTATCGGTATCGGCTGGGATGGCGGTGCTGGGGAGCATCAAGTCCCCGACTGGTGATCAGGGCCACTTCGTTGCCCTTGATGTTGATGTATTTGCCACCCTTGCCATAATCCTTGAAGAGGTCCACGGCTATGATGGCCTCGGCCGGGCTGCAACTGACCGGCAGCTCCTTCCTAAATCTGCAGCGGCTGAAGCGTTCTCCACTACGCTCGCCCAAGGCCAGGACGTATATGGACATCACCAGCAGCAAGATAAAGAAGGCGTTCGCTACGCCAGGAACTGCCTTCAAAAGCCATGCATGCAAGAGCAGCTAATCCCACACATCCTGGCTCTGATGATTCTCGGCCCTGTCTCAGCCACGGCCTTGGCCAGAGAAACCATAATCTTGTTGAGCGACTTGACCTTGCAACATGTTGAATCCGTGTGGCAGACAATGATGTGACTCAACGTAAGAGCAGCATCAGTTAAGACTGTTGGCCGTAACCGTGGTAGTTTTGATACAAACACGAGCATTGGGCAGTAAGCCAATGTTTGCAACAGTAATGCCAATAAGGAAACCCAGCCGCAAACCTACACAACGACACCGGCAGTAGTGAGTGAGAACCATAGCATTCCCAACAGTCTAACAGCTCTGCATAATAGGGTCAACATAGGCAACATGAGAACTTGATACCCACCTCCGAGCTGACACTACATGATTCAGGTATATGCGCCTCAGCAATCAGGCAGCAAAGCACGCGTGGCGCTCAAATGCACTCATTGGGGCACTCCTTTGCTGTGTAGCAGTGGGTATTGGTAGTCCGATGTTCCCTAAACCCTAAACCCTAAACCCTTCTGAAGGATTCTTGCTTGAGTCGGAAAGACAGCCTGTAGCAAGTGCCGCTCCTCAGCTGAGTCTTCCATTTCTGGCCTCTCAGTTCCCCATCACTGCGCTTGAGATGCCCGGGATGTGAAGGATGAGAAAGTAAGCTTAGATAGGACAGGGGATCCGTCCCCTAGTAGCAGGTTCGGCGCTTTGGCGCCAATCTGCTTAGCTTAACTGAACACAATACCCCTCAGCTGCACAAAGAGCCTTGCTCTCGACCTAAGCCTACGACCTGAATTATTCATGCATTCATGCACCCTAAACCCTAAACCCTTCCCCATGCTCTCGGTCCCCGGGCCCGCTTGAACAGGCGGAATACTCGGAACCTGAGTTGGCTGAGACTCAGGCCGAAAGCGATCATATAGGGGCCTTAATCATTAGAATAGGGTTTAGGGTTTAGGGTTTTCCTCCATGCCCATGGCTGAAGACCCTGAAATGCCCTGTACCAAGAAAGGAGACTCCTTAGGTCCTTGCTGCAGCAGAACCAGCCCTCCAGTTCCAGATCCTCGGACCCTCAGGTATACAAACACACACACACACACACATACATACACACCCCAGAATCACTGGAGCCGTCGAGAGTGAAACATCGCATTTGGGTTTTGAGGCATGTTATGATAAAATGTATTGAACACCCACGCCTACTCCTACTCGCGACTCCTACTCTTACTCTTACTCCCACTATCGCGAGGCTACCACTACCCTTCCTCCTCCTGCTGCTGATACTTATTATACTTTTCCTCCTACGACGACAGCTTCTGCCACTGCGTATCACCTCTCACCTACCGGACTTTTAGCACGAGCTATCGATGCTGGAGCTACAACTCTTCGAAGAAAAGCAGACAAGCCCTCCAAGGGCTCGGCGCTCTCATCATGCGGAGCATACTCAGAGGTCCCGGAAGCTCGACCTGTGACCAGATTTGGCTTTTCGTCTGCGGATCTCGTCGTGAGATGTTCAGAAAGGCTGCAAGAAACCTGAAGCCTATAGGACCTAATTATGACCATCAATTCGGAGAGCCTCCGCCTTTGTTGTGCGGCACGATGACTAACAAGAGCAACGACAGCGAGAATAGCGATCACGACGAGGACATCACATGCAAAAAAAGTTAGTCATGTCGGCGACTGGCTAGGACAAAGCTGGTGACATGAGTAGCAACGGATAATTGCGGCTCTCTGAAGTCTCTCTAGCTGCCTACCTGAACGTGCACCAGCCTGGAACACAGAAAGAACGCCGATGGCCACCACAACGAAATCGAAAATGTTCCAGCCTCACGACAGGAAATCAGTAAGGCGGCCGAGAAAGCTCGGACTCACGCCTTCCGGCCAGAGTGTTCTAGTCAGAGTCTGCACAGATGGCTCCAACATTCATGTTCGGAAACGGTCTGAGGACATGACCGGACTTCCAAAATGGACAACACCAAAACGCGTACATGTTCACGCAAAGCTCGATGAAGAACATCACATTGAAGAATGTCTCGATGGCGTAGAATACATCAGGGTACCTCGACAAGCAGATGGGCTGTTTCAAACAAGTTTGTCCCCTAACAGCACAAAGATGGTCATGTGCCTTTCATTGCACCGTAGATACTTCACGAACTTTCTCGTCCCTACATACAGTTTTCTCTCCGTCCTGAGAGCCAAACGCACTGCACTCAAAACACAGCCAGAACTGTGACAACCCAGTCCAGGTTCCGTGGAGTTCACATCCTCCGTCTCTGCACCGGCCACCAAAGGACTACCAAACCGAAGCACGAACTGCCGGCAGCGGTACTATCAGATACAGTGGTTATTGTTGCCGTAGTGGTTCCCTTCTGGAGGCTACACCCTGAAGTCTAAAAACGCTCTCGTAACGTCACTTTCCTGAACACAAAAGTAACACCCAGTCTTGGTGGTTTAACGCCTTTTCGCGTATTGGTCCCAGGGTTCAGGGCCTTGGGGCTGTAGGGCTGTAGTGTTTAGATCTTGCATTCCAGCTAGCTCGGCCCTACACTCGGCAGGCCAAGGCCCCGGCAACGCCCCAGCCGGATCGATCGACTTCTCAATGATGTTGGCCCTATGTTGGTCACTACTACTTCCACTAGTACTTGGACTAAGACTGCGACTACTAGGACTACTTAGGACTACTACGACGGCGACAACGACGTTGACGACGACGACGACGACGACGACGATGACTGGGACCAGGGCAAAATCAATGACGACGACGACTGACTAATAGTACGGCTGCGACTTCGACGATGGTTACTACGACTACGACGACGACTACTACGACGACTTCTACGACGACGACTATGACTACGACTACTGCGACGACTACGACGACGACTACTGCTACAGCAGCCACCATTGCTACAGTCACCTTTGTTAGGCTCGTCACACTTCTGTGCTGTTTATGACTATGACAGCTGCTGGACTACAAGAGCCTGCCACACTGCAGTTTCCAGTGGCGCCAGGAGTACAAATGTTGCTGTCTCTAAAGCACTGAATGTGGTCTTGCTATAAACATGACTCCACGTGACTTCTCTTCACATCCAGGTCTCTTCTTGCTCATCAAAACCTGGTTACGACATTGAACGACTGCAAATGCTCTGGTTCTGCCATATAACCGTTGTCACTACTGCTACAACGACCGATGCCTGTTCACGTCTCATCAGCACCTGCTATACCTTCCTAGCAGTCCTGTCTCAACCACATTCCCCATCGTCCGTGCTAGCACTATACTGCTGTAGCATGGTAATCTACTCGGTGCGCTACATGTGCCAGACCCTTTCTCCTTGGAGCGCGTATAGGCACACAATGATCGTCAACGGTCAGACTGCTCGGCTCCAGAGTCCTCTAAGAACCTGCAAAACCCTAGAGCATTACACCTCGGATCACGAATCCTCCGACGTCCGAACTTGGTTTTCGGTGTTCAGTGTGTGGCTTACGGATGTTTACGGTTTTGGCAATGCGACATGACTGCCGCCATGAACCGCCAGGATAGATATGACTGCTAATTGAAAAACAGCAACTGAGTCAAAACATAGCGCTTTCTGCTGCTACTGGACTCAGGAATCCTGTGCTTCTTTGGTCCCTCAACCCAACCCTAATCGAAACCCCAAAGTATTACATGCCGGGCCCCCGGCACGAAGTTCCCTGCGATGAGCCCGGCCACGAAAAGCTGCACTTTCATGTTAGTGTAGACCCTGACATGACAGCGCAACTTGGGATCGGTTCGGATATGCAGTGACACCTGCAGTCTTAGAGGGGTAAGATTGAAGGTCGTAGCCCATCTCAGGCCCTGGGTAAGCTTTCCTGTGCAGTTCACCACCACCACGAAACAAGATGTGCCTTTAATTTGAAGGAGGGGGTCCCTTCTTGATTCAACCCAGCGCATTTCTAGCCCCACGTCGCACAAAAAATGTCACCCTGTCTGCCTGCCTGATCATCGCCTCTGGAGCTTTCTGACAAAAGCTCGAATTAGGAAATGGAGCCCTAAACCCTAAACCCCTAAACCCCTAAATCCTAAACCCCTAAACCCCTAAACCCTAAACCCCTAAACCCCTGAACCCTAAACCCTAAACCTTACACCCTGAACCCTAAACCCTACACCCTGAACCCT